TTACATAGACACTCACTGGCGGCTTCTCCAACATCATTAATGACCTCTCTGGAGATGTCACCGCTATGGACGCAACTCCTGCTTACGACGATGCAGATGCGACGGTAGTTGTCGCAGCATTAACTGCAGTAAGCACCGCCTTTCATCACAAGATGTCTTACTAGGAGCTGACAAGAACTTGAAATCAAAGTTCATTCAAGTCCACCAGGACCTTCTGTCCACTGTCATCGGGAAACACAGCGTCTTTGCTCAGTTCGGTGCCACTGCCCCCATTGCAGCGGCTCTGAGGAGCCTTGAGGCTATAGTCGATGTTGGTCTTTCTTTCCAATATACGAGACTTTTGGGACTATGCTAACCCTGAATACCATGCAGAGTTTCGCAATCAGCATGATCAACTTGATTCCGACCAAAGCGGACGACGTTCAAACTGGCGCTGCTTCCCTCAATACTTCGGTCGGAAATTCCATCACACTCTACCAGCAGATTTGCGTTCCCAGCCCGCTGTATCCTACCATTCCGCCTGTTTGCATTGCTCCCTAAGCTTCTCCTCCATTGGAGCGAGTTCTTTCCGTCGTATACATTGGTTACATTACGCGTATAAAGTCACAGTTCCGCCTGGGTTTTGTTTTATGTCTTGAAGTCTTTGTTAAAGTCGGTGATCTGGTGTAGAATTGATTATGTCTCTCGCTTCCTTACAATGGACCTCAGTAAGATGCCGGTCTAATAGTTAAACGTTAAACGCTGCCCACCCTTCAGGGTATGCTGGAAGACTTAAAAAACGTGACGGTGATGGCACGTAGTGATACTCGTCTGTAAAGCGCGGTGTAGAGAAACGTGAGGAGGAATGTGCGGTCAGAGTTTGGTCAGAGTACCAAATAGGAGGGCGATAGTCAGAAAGAAGGGGAAAGCCTTAACAAGGCCTCAAGCACTGTAAATTTATCGAAGCAGCAAGGTAAATCCAAGCGCTGAGTGCTGACTGTTTCTTTCTCTATTTACTACCTGTTGTAGTAGGGCAACATCGGCAACATCAAAGGCCTGGGCCCATGCGGTGCACGTCCCAAAATAGAAATATTTACGCAATTAGGCCGAGTTTTCACCTGACGACCACATTAGTATTGAAGCACATTGACCATAGAGCATAGAACGGACAAATCGTTGTATGGCTGCTGCATAAAGCGGTGGTTAATGCATTGGGATATGCACTTTGGTCTTATTACCAGAACTGAAGGAATTTGACAGGCTCTTGCCGACCCTCTTCTACTTCTCACTGGCACTGGATGTCGGAGCTTTGACAACAGTGATCACACCATACGTCTCATCAGAGCCGATATGTATATCTCAGTATGGATTTTTGGGGTACAAATAATTTCTCTAAGCCCGTTCGACGCCGATGTCATCTAGCTCGAACTTGAATCAGCCGACAACTCACACACCCACTCTTCCCCTTGCAACCGTCGCAATGGTGCTGCGCATGCACGGCCATCTACTTCCAATCACACAATGTTCCGAATATGGATTATGGCATATTACCAGTTTCCTGCCGAGAATTACCTGTAGAAATATTCTTTGCGGAAAGATTCCTTGGGAAGATTCAGGCATGGCTTGCGATCTGAAGGTTGGAGGGGACGAAAGGGCCATCGTCTTCGACGATGTATAAATCCAGTGCTGTTTTGTAGCTCCTCAGAAAGAGTTTCCCCAAGGACGGTCAATCATACATGTGCCTTCAAAGATTAGGCGCGCGTTTTCCGTGACGGAGGCGCCATGTTACAGGCGATTCATACTATGGGATTCGCAGGTTTCGACATAAAAAGCATATGTGTCTACGTGCTTAGGAGTCCTTATTATATTCTAAACACTGAACGAAACATCTATACTATATGTATATACTAGTTAGTGGCAGAGGCGTTGTCGGACTACTTGCAAAAACTCATAGAAGCTTTCCATAACACAAGACGAACCATTTCGTTCTGCAATCGAACCGGCGAACAATGTTAGACACAAGTAACGAGCCGATATGGAAGGCCATGGAACCTGGACGTCTCGGAGAGCGACGCCACACCTGCCAGGCCCAGGGGCATGCCTTCAGTGAGTGCCTTGTTGTTTGACATTAACTCGATCTATTCTTGGAGTGAAGCCAATTTTAGGGACTTTCTGGAAATTTGGAAAGGATTCAGAGGGGTAAACGACCTAAGTATCGCGGCGCTGCTCGCGGCATACTACCTTGTGGTAGCTTTTGTCATACTTCATGATTATCACCGCTTTCCCTGAGGGAAATTCACTGAAATCGCTTCATTTGTTTATCGACCTGGCATATTCTATATTTACATGTGAATGAGTTTGGTTCAAGTTTACGATATCGCGGGTCTTGTGAGTGTAGCCAAACTGTAACGACCATCTCGCAACAATCATTTGTCAGTTCGATGATGTCATTATAGCTACAATCATTTTATAACTACAATAGTACAGTCTGGCACTTGTACAGATATTAAGACGATAGATAAGATCTGAAAGATTCGATAAAACTACAGCTTACGATTATGCACACGGAGAACGATAAGTTCGGAAAATCTAGGTCCGACATAGCAGAAGTAAAAAGATTTTGCGAAGGTAAAGACCCTCTCTAGGTCAAACACTACCGCCTGGAGTAGCGAGCATGTGCCAATGAACGTTTGGCTGAATGGTCACGATAGGTATGTAGGCAGGGTAGTAGAAAGAGGGGATAAGCGGGAAAATGAACGGATACAGGACCGAAGATATATACCAAGTCCATGATTACCCTGCGACTGCGTCGCATAGCATATAATGGGGGTACAAATGCAAGCGATATCCGATCTAACAGCGAATCATATGAGCAACCATTTTAAATCGTCACACAGGCAGGGAAGTTGAAAACATACATTCACACCCCATCCTCATCGCCGTCAGCTCCGTTAATGGGCAAGAATCCGACGCGCAGGTGGGACTTCTCGGAAAACCGCTTCCACACGCCCGACCTCACGCATTCTTCTGCCATTAGCGCCTGAGAATCATTGATTCCTGCCAATTTGACCTTCAGCTGCACCTCCAGTGCCTCAAACTTGTCAGGGAAATGACTGAGCGCCTCCTCAATAATAGAGGGCAGCTTGCACCAGGTAAGAGGCTGCAGGACGGCATAGTCGGGCATGCCAAAGAAGGAGTAGGTGCCCTTGGCATCGAGGGTGAGAGAGACGGATATTCTGCGGATGGGTGGTGATGTGGGTATTTTCTTCGTGCTGATGATTGAGGACGTGGTAAACGAGGAGAAGAGTTGGTTGAAAAATGCACGGAAGAAGGTTTCAAGTGTCCCTGCACTTGATTGATGGCTCATGAGCAGTCCCTCGATGTGGAGACAGCGGACCTCCGTAAGTTGGCTGAAGTCGAGCATAGGCATGTCTCGTAAGACTGTAGTTGTATTATCTGCATTAATAAAATTGCTCAAAATATCGGCAAACAGAGTAAAGCTCACCATTGAGAGTGGCCGGCAGTGTAATCCACAATTTCTTTATGGTAGAACCGTTGTTGTCGAAATAACTTCTCAACAAGGTGGTCATTTTTTGGTCGCAGTCGAGGTTGAACCTGAGCGAATGCACAGATGGCATTGGGTTTTTATCCAACAACCATCCGAGTACAGCTAAACCAGCCAAAATGCCCATGCTAGGATGGCCCGGCATATCTGACAATCTCCGGATGTCCAATAAAGGCACGCGGAAAAGATTGCCTGGTGGGCGGCTTGTCAGGTGATCATCGCCAAGGTGTTGCTCCCATCGAGAGTCGAGTGTCATAGCCGGTCGAGTTATAGATAGCGACTCTAGGAGAGGAAGTGAGGAGAGATAGCCGAAGAAATTAGTGGGGCAACGGAACGCCACTCGATGAGCTTCTATCGCCTTAATGGCCTTCATCTCCTCGAGCAAACGCCAAAAGGACACTGGAATATCTCCTGGACAAAGGTTGATAAAGCGAACCGACGTCACACCGGCCAGACGCTCTCGAAGACGCGAATTGTCTTCAGGAACATATTCTGGTCGCATGGCGGCTGCTTGAGCTCGGGACAATGGCTTTAGCTGTCGGGGTCCAGTGATGACGATTCTGGACACGGTATTCGCGAAGCTGCTCCAAGGAACATCCAGGAGCTCTAAAAAGCGGCAGACCCTGTTGGATTCCAGCGTCACCTCGGAGAAGAGGTGAAATCGGCACACAGGCACCAATTTTCGCGACGCAAGGCTGCACGCTAGAAGAGCTTCGCGGTCCTCAAATAAAAAATCGATGATTTCTTCGAGTGTTTCTTGCGGTAGATCGATGGAAACCGCCATGGTAGGTTTATTCTTCTAGTCTGATAGTGAGATAGACAACAGAAATGCCAGGAGCTGGGACCTACCAGGAAGATGTGTGAAATATCTGATCGGCAGACTCTTCAAGTGGGTATTCTGGGAGCAAGGTTCCCTGCTTCCAGCAACTAAATACCCATCGGCACGCTTAAACCTTGAGGCCTGGGGTAGAGAAAAAGAACTAGCGCCCCTGATATCGACATTGATAAGTATGGCAGTCAGGGTCAAAGCCTACCGCATTTCCCTAAACATCAAGCAGCGATTCAGACTCACTGAATCTTTGACAGCTGGTCTCGGGGCTCCTTCTCGATTCATGATGCATGAGGGCTTGAACATTCGAAACTGGAGTAACATGAATGCGGACCTGGGCAAAGAGGTGATAATCTCGATTCCCGAAGAGCCTCAGATCGGACCGAGACTCTCAAGAGGACCACGGCCATGTTCCATCTTTTCTGTCAACGTTTGCATAGTTGGGCACAATAACAATTGGTATCGACGATAATTCCGTGAAAGGTGAAGAGACCTGGGTTGATAAATGCTCAGGTTACGAAAGTAAGAGCAGCGAGGAGCAATTGACCGTCGGACGATAAAAAGAATTCCCAAAAAGGAATAATCCTGATTGCGCAAGAAGAAGAAGAAAAAATACGCAGCAAAAGATGGTTCAATCCAGGATCGAACTGGAGACCTTCTGTGTCCTTACAAGCTTCAGCAAGCTGCAATGTGAGACAGAAATCATAACCACTAGACCATTGAACCTTTTCCAGTTCGGGAGGACAGGCTACCAGATTTTCCCACCATATGCTCCTCTAACGTGCTCCATTTTACCACAGTGAGTCTATCAATATCATTTGCCGACTGCCACCAATCGAACTCTGGAGAACCTCTGGTAGATCCTAGGCCTTAACAGTCTTCAACTTCGAAACTTTCGCTTCGGAGTAGGAGATCTCACATTCATCTGGCGACCTTTATCAATCTCTTCCAATGGTCAATCTTTGGTCAAAATGAAGTTTAATGAACAAGAAAGTGGCCATACTCATATTTATTCTCTCAGTCTTGGTCCACATCGTCTTCTCCGTTACGAACCTTTTGGGGGTGGCAATGACTTTCATTCTGACGGAAGGGATGCCATGTCTTTAATTCAGCGATCACTACCCCGGATCGGATGCATTGGCGCAAAGTTTCCTCGATGTCGATGCCTTGTCAGTGTGTCGATCGAGATACATAGTTCCGAACTCTCTCAGCTGGTAGTCTGATGCTCTGATGAAAATAAGACTATGTTGTAAGGAGAATATCAAGGTCTCCGAGTTGCCCATACCCAAATAATATCCGCGCTGGCACCTCAGCATGTCCCTCCGCTGCCATGTTCTAGTAGGCTAGGGTCACTGGATCTCTTTTGCCTTGCTCTTTCCTAATATCATAAGCTACGTTACATAAGTCCTATCTTCTTTGGCGCCTTTTCAGCAATGCTCAGCACGCAAATCAAATCATCAGTTCCCGAATTGACTCGGATCTGTCTACTCTGTTTACCCTGATCGATTTTGTCCATCTACAGACAACATACTGTGGTGTCCAATGCAACATTTGCCATCCACAGGATGGCAATTTTCGCCGCCTTAGGTATGGCCAGTCATTACCTTTAAACATGACAAGGAAAACTAGGATCATGGGCTACTCGCGATTCATATAATTTCCTTCTTGAAGCTACACCGTACAGACTTGGCAAATGTAGGACCACTTTTCCATATAGACCGTTTCCCGGATGGAACGGACACCCTGATTATCGAAAAAATTACCTCGAACTCTCATACAGGCAAACAATGACGTTTAATCCTGGCAGTAACGTTGCGCCCCAGGAATGACGAGTCTATAAATTCTCATTCTCATCAGCAAATCAAGCGTCCAACTTTGGTCCATCTGACGTACCTGAACAATTCCAACGGAAACGGTAGGCGGTTCTCATTTACGTACTTGGGCGTAGGTCGACATCGCTTCGAATTCGCGAGGACGGATCGATATGATAACCATATCCCCGCAATCATTTAAATAGCGATACTCGTTTCCTCGAAGCCAGTGCATTCACGCGTTGTCTTGAGCCATTCATTATGTGGTGACATCTCATTCAAACACTTGCCTAAAACTTTCCTAGCGTGATCTACCCAAGGGCGTACTGGATATAAATAACCCATTATCTTCTCAAGCAAAGTTCATGACGATATTCGTTGATATTCTATCTAACTAACAATGGCCATATGGTTTGATCTGCTATCCTCTGTCGACTGATCAACTCAAGTGAAGTACAATGCCGAAGTCTATTTTAGCGTCATACAGCCTGTATTGCGCTCGCATTACAGTGTTACTAACTATTGAATATTGAAGAGTCACTACTAGTCATCGGTCAAGACGTTGGTACTTGTGACACCGTCGCGTAGATCAGATTAGATGTAATGCGGCTACATATGTTGGATGGTCGTTTGGGGTTAGTCGTAGATATGTTTCTTTGTAACGCCAACCTTTGGCATGCATCCCATTATACCGCTGAGCGACCATAAGTATAGAATTGGCACATAATGTCACCATCTAACCCTGACCGTGTACTTAGCTACATCTGCTTTACCCATCCTCTACCAGTGCCAGTGGCCGGAGTGCCCACTTCAAAAACACATCCAATGAAGTAATGGTCGCGTTGTGCTGCAAGGTAAGTATGTGGCATGGAGGTGGGCGTAAATCGCTAATAGAATGACGTCATATGGTATTCAGAGCTCTTGTCAGATCCCTGGTGAAAAGATAGAATTGTACTATTGCGCCACACTACCTCATACCCGTGCGAATCATCAAAAAAACCCATCACAGAGACTTGTTCGTTTATACAATGAAGGAAGCTTCTGAGGATTTGTCGCTTTTACGAGGGCACTGTTCAAAGAATAACGAAGATAGGAAATCTTCCCGGAGTTCCGCACAGCTTGCAAATAGAATGGCCAAAAGCATGGTGTTCTCAATATTTATAGGCACATTATAATTCTTCGAAGCAGCAGGCACGCTTTGTTCAAGCTTTGCTTTGACTTTACTCCACATCCTCACATACTTCTGTCCATTAATTATAATCTTCCTTCTCCACCGGTGAAGACCATCAGTCCGGCCTCGAATCGATCCAAACCCGCGACCGCGCCCAGGGCATGAAACGAGAGCAAAATAAGTCACTATAACACAACCAAGCCGGCCGGAGCGTACCCGACTTCTCATATTATGTTACGCCAAGCTCACGCCCGAGAGCAGTAAGTAGTCACCTCAGAGATCATTAGGGTCCGAACAAATTGCAGTACTACTGTGTTGGTGCTATGCTGCAAAGGCACCGGCTTGTGCTGAGTATCCAGCACAAGGTCATCTATTCCTGAACATATCATTAGTCAAATTTCAAAACGCATAACTATCGAGAGAAAACAACGGGAATCTGTCCGGAAAGGACGCGCCGCAGACGCTGAATGATGATGCCAACGTGAGGTCCACGGAGTAGTCAAAATTACATCGACCTATTCATAGCACAGAGCTGCATCATGAAGTGGCGTGCCACCTAAACTGAACTTCGTGGTTATCGCACTTGAGCAGCATTTGACAAGCTCCAGGACATGTGCGCGCGCCCGTCCAGATATCTGTATCAGAACAATTTGGCATCTTCTTTTCTACTGTCTACGGTCGAAAGGGATAGGCAAGGCACCGAGGAGAAAGGGGGGAAGAGAATGCACCAGCTCGCTGCTCCGGGTCCAATCCTGAAACCTACCCACAGGTTTCAGGCCAGCTCAAGTAAATAGATAGCGATTGGCATCGTGAAATGTGCCTGACGATGCCGGGCTTGTACGAGAGCAACCTAAACGTAGGGTTTTACTCATCACTGGGGAGTGCGCAAGCTCTCTGCTGAGCTGCTGGATATTCCCACACGCATGTGCTTGAACGACAAGCGATGCATGCGGTCGCACTGCCAATCATATCCGCAATCATGATAGTTGGAGAATAAGGCCTAAGGTAGCGCGATATGCATCACGGTGACTCATTTACACAGTAGACACCGCGGAGACAGCCTGAGCTTGCGGGTGTGCGTGCGCGCAGGCAGCGGGAAAAACGAATTCGAATTGGTGTTGGGATTAAGATGAATCCGTATACGTGGCGAGTTTGTGAGAAACGGCATGGTGATGGACCTTCAATAACCGGCACTGAGTGGGTTTTTTGCCGGCCGGAAAGTACACGCAGCAGGTGTACACTGGTAGTGGGAGTCTGATGACGGCGATCTATTTGGATGAGCTTAACAGTGATCATAATTGAACAGTGGAGCAAAGGCACCGAGAAAGGGACAAGAAAAGAAGCCAGGGAGGAGGAACGAAAGAAGGGGGAAGAAAGAAGTCCTGGAAAACGGATCAGATGAAGAGAAAAACATATAATGGCGTATACAATGAAACCTACAAAAGCCCAACAAAGAATGAATGTAGTTCAGATAAATCCTTTTCGCAAGGATGGGAGATCATACTTGAAAGATAGTGGAAGGCTCAGACTCGAATATGAGACCAGCTTGATAAAGAGATAGAATATGATTCTGAGAAACGTTTTTCGTACATTGTTCCTTGGCGGAGGTGGGCGCGAATTTCTCGCTTTGTTTGACACGGGGTGCAGAAAGGGATAATTTGCATGTGCAGCCGATTCCTGGAAGGGCGAAAGGCTCAGTGCCGAGGCGCGCCTTTTAAAGAGAGGAGTGAGAGTTGATTTATAGGCAGAGCGTGGTGGGGGGTATGGATATTGCATAGGTCCGCAGAGAGCAAGAAGACGAGACAGAACGACGGAAAGCATTTCACACAGCATTCCGATGGATATAGTTGTCGCAGCAAGAAGGGTTCGTAGGCGTCATCGTGGTGTCGTGATATAAGGGTACAAGATAAGAATCGTTCGAGATCGTCACGCCTAGCGCTGGATGTTGACTGGGTAATCAAAAATACAAATGGATGCAAAATTCGTGTCTCCGTGAGATCGAGGATAGAAAGCGGGCAGTTTCAATACCAGAAACGTTCGAAGGCGTGTCCAGTTTCACAAGAGTTTGGACTGCTTCAGGTGTTGTCGAATGACCATGTCGCGCACTGACAAACAAGATTTGTTTTAATTGATCACAACAGTACCGCATGTACTGAGAAGACCCACCACTGGCAATGATACCAACCGTAGTGGCAGTATCCGTAACGCTGGTACAGAACGCGTAGAATTTTCTTGGGTTCGGGGAGTATTCTCGATGAATAGCGCTAAACTTTCCCCGAAGGTCTAACGGGCAGGATAAATTCCAAATCCAGATGGCATGAAAGAAATGACGCACATTTGCTAACATTATCGAGGTCGTTTGGCCGATCGCCGTAACTACGGACATATTTTGCCAATCTAGAAACAATGAAGCAGTGAGCATATGCGCTCGGGATAAATAAAAGGTCTGGCAGAGGTGGCTGTGGACAAAAGACAATACCAGGTAAAAAAGAAGATGAGAAAGGAGGAATGAGAAAGGAAGCATCAAAAACTGTGGAGAAATTCTCTGATTGATGACTCTGAGGAGTTAAAAAAATGATGAAGACTGCGGAAACAAAGAGTGGATGGCGCCCATGGTATATGATTATAGAGAGGAAATAAGAGCCCAGTATCCGAGCCAGGTCAAACCATGAAGAGCGCACTCGGCCGCAAGAAGAAAGATGAACAGCAAATTGACAGCGGAGAATAAAGATAGGAGGAAGGGA